TTCCCTCTCCTCCTCCTCCGCCACCCAAGGCTGTTTCTGAGCCCCAGACCCCGCCGTTTCCCCGGCCTTTGGGGGGGTGTTTGGGGGTTGCCTGGGAAAGCACTGCAAAACGCCTCGCCACGTGATGTGTGTGTTTCTTTTTATTTTTTCTTGTTCTTTCATATATGCTGGTTTTGAGAAGGCCGATGTTTTTTTCTGTTTGTAGAACTTATACACAACACAGCGTTTCTTCTTTGAATGCAGGTGATTCCCCAAATGACCAAAAGCAGCCTGAGGAGAGGTCTGAGAGGAAAATGGAGAAAAAGTCCGAAGCCTTGAACATCCGAGGTATGATGAACATCCGCCCATAAGCTAGTGCTATGTTAACTGTACGCATCTCCTGTTTTCTCCTTCACGATATTATTATTTTTTTTCAAATGTCTGCAAATGTGTAGGACATTTTCTATGTGTTTGTAGCCTGTATGTCCTTAACATATAGGTTTTGATTGTGGGAAGTTGTATGGATATGAGCCACAGAATAGGGTGATGCTGGTGTAAACCATATGCTGATCTGGTTCTTTGCATCTGCTCATGCTTTGATTTTAATCCTTTCAAGAGCTGCAGGTGAAGCTTTTGGAAGGATGCAGAGCCTCTCACACTAGGATGCAATGACTAAAGACTTTATAAGGAATAAGCATCTGCCTGAGAGATGTTTTTTTTGAATGTCTCTTCCCTAGTTTGTAGCCAGTGTTCAGCTTATATGTGCATTTAGGCAGAAAACAGCATTTCTCTAAATCTTGAGGTTAGTAATGTTATTGTGGTCAACAAGAGGAAAAAAGTGCTGAGAACTGAACCCCCAGCACAGGCTTTCCAGGGCCTTGAACTGTGAACCCTTCCCTGGGAGAGGCTGTCACAGTCAGCCCTTTACAGCAAGGACTTTGGCAGGTCTTTGGTAGATGCAGAGAGAAACAGTAGGGCTGTTTTAGGGATAAACTAAACAAAATCTCTGTATATGTGTGTAAGCATACATATTTACATACCTGTTCCACACAGGGTCACAGTTGGGTATCTTTGAGTATATTAATCAGTAACTTTGCTCTTCAGGGCAAGGACCACTAACAATGTGCAACAGGAATAGTAGTTTCAGGTTTCTTATGGACACACATCTGCCTCTGAGAAGTTGTGATGCTCCTCCAAAGTCATGTACATGGCATTACATGAGCTCAACTGAGTGGTCCCATTTTTAACACCAGGTTTTAGTGTATTTATAAAGACTTCAGTGTTTATGTAAAGATCTTCAGTGCAGATATGCGTGTGCATGGGGGAGAGAAGACACGTGGCAAGTTGAATGGCATGCTGCTACAACAAAATGCACTTGCTTGAATATCTAGAAATCCTAAAATCAGAGGATTTTGTCTGAAAGCTTAGGCAACTGTATTGGAGCAGGACAAGCAATATGTCCTCTTGAAGGGTGGAGGAGGTAAGGATAAACCCCAGCAACTCAAGTGTGCTTTGAAGAAAGGTTTCCTTGCCTACATGGTAGTGCTTAGGCATAGGGATGACTGAAGGGTAAGGAGTTTTGAATCAGTTATTTTAAGGTACATTTAAAACTTCATAATCATCTATAAAAAATGATGTACATTATAGAACTAGTGTCTACCTGGAGAATTAAGCTAGACAAAGCGGACAGTGAGAGAAGCTTTTCTCTATCGTTCTTGTCAGGGCTAGCACGCTGAAGCCCAGGTTACATATAAATAAAGAGCAATCCTGCTACTGTGTCGCAACAAGCCAAACTGCACAGGAGTTTGCCAATCAGACAAAATACTCTTGACTCCAGCAGAAAGAGCTGGATTGCTGAAAGTTTGTACTTGCTTATCTTGCTCAAATGATCCCGGGAGCTTGGGTTGATTATCGATTTCACTTTGTACACAGAGGGTCAGTGTCGGGCACAAAGCTGCCACGGAGCCGTGGCACCGATGGGTCCAGCCTCGCTGGGCTGGGCTGGCAGTGGGTTTTGAGGGGAGCGTCTGCATCTTTGCTGGGCTGGAGGAAGGGATTGAATTGGGGCGAGGCCTTGGAAAATGTTCTCACAGGCATGTTAAAGGAAAGTGGCCTCATTTTGGTCTCTCATGTGCTCCAAATGAAAAGGAAAAAGTTGACAAAGGAGTTAACTTTATATATTTAGACTATATATTTAGAGACATTACAAAGTGAGCATGGGTTGAAGCAAAATTTGAGTATAAGTAGTAAAGGCTGACAAAATTGGAGTGCTTCCTAGTAATGACAGGAAGAGGAAAGGCTATTCAAAGTAGTAAGAAAGCAGTGAAGGGACTCAGATTATTGTAACAGGTTAGCAAGAACTGTGCTTGGCCATGCTAGTTAAGTGAGACTAAAAATGGGTTATTGCCAAGACTCTCTCTTGTGTCTTTTTGTTACCTTGAATGCAAAGACATATGTACAGGTGTAAAAACTTATATGCAGCCTTCCTTTCCACTTAAAGTAGTATGGACAGTTTTTTTTTTTTTTTTTTTTTTAAATTGGACCATATTCAGAACCTCTTTGAGTCTGGAGGCAGGTGGCATTGGTGAGGCAAAGATTAATTTGCTAAGTAATCAAGCTTAATCAAAAAATCAGAATTTGAGGCATTGGGAACCATAAGACTGAGCGCTCCTCAGCTTATGCTAGGTAACTTTTCAGATTTCAGCAAAGTCACAGAAGCTGAGTTGGGAGAATATTACCTGTTAGGGGTAGTTTGTGGTGCTCTCAGCTTCAGGATAGACCTGATAGATTTAACTGTTACTTCCTAACTGTGAGGCCATTTAAATGTACCCAGATCTCTGAATACTTGGCAGGCATTAAGCGAGCATGTTCACATTGCCATGGTGCTGCAGGGGACCAGAGTTGCAGGGAAACCCCAACCATTTAATAATGAATCTCCCCGGTGCTGCTGGGACTCACCTCTCTTCTGTGCTCTGAAAGCTGCTGTTGAAAACTTTGCTCATAGCTGGTGTCTGAAGTACATCTGCTTTTTCATATCTGCTTTACTTTACATGAAACACTTTGTTACACACCGTTCCCTCTTTGTATCTAAAAGGCTAATATAAGTCTTTATTGTGTTGTTTGTTTTCAGGTGTTCTTTTGCATGTTATGGGAGATGCACTTGGCTCTGTGGTTGTGGTAGTTGCAGCTGCAATCTTTCACCTGCTTCCTCTGAGTGCGGATGCTCCATGTAACTGGCAGTGCTATATTGATCCAAGCCTGACCATCGTTATGGTGATCATCATTTTGTCTTCTGCATTCCCGCTTATCAAAGAGACCTCAATCATTTTGCTGCAGATGGTTCCCAAAGGTGTTAATATGCAGCTATTGAGTAAGTCCAATTTGTTGTTGAAATGCTATTAAGTGCTATATTACAATGCATATGTTATTTCTGAAATGGCACGTTTGGATTATGTACTCATAGCAGCTCTAAATTCTCAAGAACTGTGAGAAATGGTCACATGCCTGTGTCCTAGCAACATGACTCAAATCTCTCTGGATTAGTTAAAGCATGCATTTTGGGAATGTGGTACTCCAGCAAGACACAAAAAGCACCAGATCTTGAAGCGCTAATGCTTTGCGTGGGGTGCTGGTGAAAGAAGCAACATTGAATTTTAATATTTCGCAGCCCTGCAGTGCTTCCTTCTAAAGACTTCAAAAACACTCTAAAAATTTGGTTTAAGATCAGTTGATTATGCAGTGCGAATGATGCCAGGCTTTCTGGCATGGTTGAGTAGCCCCTTGGCTAATTACAGGGCAACACCACCTATTTCTGGAAGCCTGTCACACTCGATGCTGAGCAGAGGTGTCCCATGGGGAAATGGTAGTCTCGGGGTGAATGGATCTTCCAGACAGTGCTGATTAGTTGCCACGAGGGAGTTGGCAAGAGTCTGTGAAGGCAAAGATGTAGAAAGCCCTGCTTGCCTGGCCGCTGGGAGCCTGAGCTGCTCAGCTGGGAGCAGAGATGCTGATAAAGTGCAGCTCTTTAAGAGACACTGCTGCTTTCAGATAAGCTGCTTCATCAGACTGGGACAGCTGCTCCCTAGCCCATACACTGAGCCATCTCATGTCTTTCTCTTGTGTTTTCCAGCTGACAGTCTAGCTCACGTACCGGGGGTTATCAGCCTGCACGAGGTGCACGTCTGGGAGCTGGCAGGTGGGAAGAACATCGCTACTCTACATGTCAAGTGCCAAACCCCTACTGATTACCAAGATGCTGCTTATAAAATACGGAAGCTTTTCCACGAAGCGGGGATCCACTCGGTGACCATCCAGCCCGAGTATCTGGAGCACAAGAGCTCGACGCTGCTCTGCAGCTCACCCTGCATCTCCAGGGAGTGCGACCCTCAGCTCTGCTGCAGTCAGCAGGAGGCTTCGCTGCCCAAAAGCAACGGCTGTGTGGAGAAGAGGAAGAGGTGCCTCCCTGCACCGCCGAAGGACAATGGTGCAAGTAAAAATGATGTTGAGATCCCAATAGAGTGCCCCGTGTCAGAAGATAGCATTAATAATGTGAAAAAATGTACCATGTCTGATAAAAAGTCACAGTTGAGCAGCACACGATTTTAAGCAGCTCCCTCTGTGCAACTTGTTCACAAGAGCAAAAGTGCCCTGACCGTAGAGTGGGCCTCAGTGCATGGGGTGCAGCTGGGGTTGCAAAAAGAAATCTGGGCTTTAGCTGCAAACCAAAATACACTTAAAGCTTGTGTCTGAAATAAGGATTAATAGTTTCATGAAGAGCCTTGCATTTGCCTAAGGCTTTTCTAATATAGCCTAACACAGTTCCTTATCAAACTCTGTGCACTTCTGTTCTTAAGGGGAATCAGGTGTATTGTTGTCTACACTGACACTTGCAGTTTATGGCCAGTGGCACTACAAATTCATTTTGGCCTTTTCTACTGAGTGGGGCTGTTTCCTGAAAGCCCTGTAATGAGTAAGTGCAGTGAGTGCTGGGCTGAAGTACTGTATATTTATAAAGGACTTGAGTAGTTTTGTTGATCCTTAAAGCCTATTTTGTATAGACAGGAGTTCATTTCTTAATAATAACTCTTGTGCATTTGTACTGTGAGTGTTTGAGTGAATCTGAAAATGTCTAATGGGGAGAGAAAGCACTTGGGAAAGTTTGACTTGCATTGCTTTCTTGATTGCTCTGTCCCTAAATACAAAAGTCAGTACTAATAGTAGTGGAGCCTTAGCTTAATCAGATAAGTGTGCTAAAGAATATACTTCCTACCATGAAAGCTAAGGAATCCTTACTGGCTAATATTGTCTCTGCTGATTCAGGTAAAAGAAAATACAGGCAGTCATCAACTTGCTTTGTTCACTTTTGTGATTATACAACTCTTTTTTTTTTTTTTAATGACATCAGAAATAGTAAGAGTCAGACTTAATTCATTATCATATGGAATGATTGCAACATCTTCAACACTGAATAACACTATCTGTCATTATTCATGATGAATAAACAAGCTAATATATCTACTGGGAATAGTTAAAATTCTGCAAATCTATAATTAAAAGACAATTCAATATTGCATTAATTAAGAAAATCCCTTTAGAATTTTGTCTGCAATGTTACTGCTTAAAGGGAACTGTTTAGAGTGAAGAGTTTTTTCTTGTTTTGGTCTAGATTCTCTTGCAGATTTGTTTTAAACATTCAAACCTTCTTCTCCCTGCCAATGTATATTTTTAAGCGTATTTAGTGAAGCAGTTCCATTATCTTTTTGCTACTTCTACTTCTTGAAGACATGCTAGGGTGCTCTAAGGAAAACAGCATGACTTGCCCTGTCACCACCAAATGTTCACCACCTGTCTAGGTATGTAGGACCTTTGAAATGCATTTTGGTATCAAGAGCAACCTTTCAGATCTGCATGAAGCCTGGACAAGCTATTTATTTGTTTACAAGGACACCTTTATGAAATAGTGGTGTCTTTACCTCAATGGCACCTTAGCAGAAAGGGCAAAGAGAATTCCTGCTTGGGCTGGGAAAATACATGACTTTCTTGTAAGTCTAGCTTGACAGTAGTCAGCTCCTTATTAATAAGGATAATTACATTAAGTCAATGAATATTAAAAGACACAACAGGCTATTTTGCTGCTTGGTAAATGATATTTACTGAAGGAATGATTGCGATCTAAGTAGCACATTTCTAGATTTGTATTTACCCCTTTTGAGCAGAGTCTTGGGTAAATGAATGTATTTTTCATAACCTTCCATGGTAGGTTCGTATTAAATATGTTAAGCTATATGCTAATAGCACTAAAAGCTTGATCCTGCAGTCTCTTTGACCCTGTTGGCAGCAACAGAGGTGAAAGCAGTGGGATTTGCTTCGCAGTTGAACGAACAAATATAAATCAGGAAACACTAGAATCATTCTGACATTTAAAAGTATGAGGCATGAGGTAAGGCAGCCTTTGCTTCAGTTTTGGTTTTCTGTCTTTTATTTTCGGCTGTGGTGATGTTTAAATGTAGGGTTTTAGATCTATATAGCATGTATTTATAGGCTTGTGTACTTTTTTCTGTCCTTTGAGAACTGGAAGAGAAGGCTCTCAGAATGATAACAAAGTAAATGGGTGAACTTGCCTCAGCTCCCAGATGGCCTTTAAAACAAACACTCGTTTCATACTTGTGCATTTGTGTCTTAAATCAGGTAGCCTTTTTTTCTGTATTAAATTGTTGGAAGATTTAATGGCAGTATTTTACTCTGGAATTAGAGGTGTTTAATGTTGAGGTATTTGATAAAATGGATTGTCTTTTTCTTTATTCTTCCAATATTTGTTAAAACAGTGGTTATCTATTTCTTAAGTCTTTAAAAGTGTTAAAACTGGAATATGCAATGAAGTAACATGCTTAAACTTTTTTGCCTGTTTGGTTGAATGTACTATAATTATGTATTGAATGTACTGTAGCCTGTGAATAAATAGGAAAATACCAGGGGTTATAGAAATCTTCAGGTTTAGAAAACAAATATATTCAAACTTTGCTTTATTGGATCAAATCAATGTTCAAACTACCCAAGCAAGCAAGACCAACAGAACAGTGTTACTGAGTAGGTGAACCTTGCTTTGTCTGTGGAGGGGCTTCTAAGGTATCCCACAAACATCCCTGTCCCAGTATCCTTGTTTTTATTTGAATCCCACAACAAACATTTTTTTTTCCCCTCTTCTTGATTTAAATATGTCAAAACTAGTCTGTAAGGGATGGTTGCTTGATGCTTTTGTAGAAGATGTCATTCCAACCACTCTGTAAAATTTATTGGCTTGGGATACTCGTTCTGGATTCAGTTCTCTAGCATATTACAATTTCCTAAATCCTTTTTTGGCCTTTTCCATTTCTGCCCTGCAAGCCCCCCTCCCAATAATGTAAAATTTCTGTTAAGGTGCCTGGTTATGCTGTCCTGTTCTCCTGGACATTTCCTCTCCGTGTGCCCAGGGTGGCCCTGTTTCCCTTGCAGTATTCCTCTTTTATGGCCATCACAGTTGTGCGTAGCAAAGCAGGTTGCTTAAAATGCAGGTGACTTTAACCCCTTGTTCAGCTTGCGCGGCCTTCTGATCCATAACCAGTCACACACGTGGCCAAGTCATATGAGCGTGACACATGCCCTAGCCAAGACAGGGAGTGCTTGGACCAAGAGTAGGTAGCTGGGATATATTATCATGACTTTGCAAAAGCAGTTTCCTGGATTTCGTCAGCTGTGGGCCTCTTGGGCCAGCTTTTCATATGTTAGCCTTTGACGAAGCATACAAATTAAACTTCTTATTTTTCATTCTTCTCTATATCCATTAATGCAGATTTTGCCTTTGCTCTTCTCTCAAGTTATTTTTAGCTGTTTCCTATGCTTTACCAAGTGATCAGCTACCTTTCTTTTCTTTATATCTCTTACTGATACTTAATTTGATTTCTAGTGCAACCATTTTTCCTTTTAATATTTCTAATTAGGGAAGGAATTTCTAATTCCTTTCAATATTTTCCTTTCTAATATTTCTTAATATTCTTTCTATTTTTGTTAAAGACAGTAAGATTTCACTAGCCTCCTGGTACCTATATATATTATGTACCTGTATTACAGTTTACAAATACCTTTTTTTTTTTTTTTGCACTGGTTTAAATTTTGCACTCCATTTTATTCAAATCAGTCTGCTTTCTAGTCTTGCTCAGAGATACGCTTTACCATTGCAAACTACTCTTTGACCATGTTTACTTCTATCTGCTCTCTGTTTTCTCTTGTTTCTTTACTCCCTCGCTGGATTGTAATATTCACAGTCCTGAGTGTTACCTTTATCCTGAACTTTGAAGGTGACGAGGTGGCACCCATGTTTTCCGTGAGGTGAAAATCACTGCTCAAAGTGGGGTGTAGCCTGGCTTGAGGTGAGCTATCCCCAGCACTGTTTTATGTGCTTTGGACTATGTAGAGGTGGTCAGCCTGATGTGTATGATTTGAGCATCCCACCTGAGCCAGCTTTTAAAGGAAGTTGGTTTCTAAACCAGAGAAGGTTTAATGAAATCAGTAGAGTTGGTTTGGTTTAACACCTTGGGGGAAAACTTGGCGAGCCACTTGGAACATGGGTAAAAGGGACATTTCAGAAAAAAATAATCAAAATGCTAGGAGGATTTCTTCAGATTCTGCTACTTACTCTGCTCTTCAGTGGAAGCATTTTCAGTGGTAAATACTCATTTGAACTCTGATACCTTGATATGAGGATGTCATTGTATAAAGTTGTTACATTTATGGAGTTTTGTTGCTTAAGTTTCTTCCAGGATTTTCTGATCATTGTGTGATTTTAAATAATGTGCCAAAATATAATTTCCATGATCACTGAATCAACAAATTGCAAACCTCATTGTGTTTTTATTAACTATGAGTGGAAAAATTCCTTGAAGTTTTATGTACAGTCATTTTTTTCCAAAATGAAATTTGAATGTGCTGTAAATAAAGTGTATTTTTAAATAAGAACTGGTTGTACTGAGCTTGCAGCTGCGGGGTGCTGGCCGCAGCCTGATGTGGTGTTTGCAGACTGCACAACTCTGCCTGTTCACCCCTGCTTGCTGCTCGCTTTCTGCTGGCCAGCTCCTCTGCTTTCCCTGCCAGGGTTTGCAGAGCAGGTCTGTGTCGTGCAGGTGTCGCTGAGGATGCCCCTGTGTATGGAGGAAGATGCGCTTGTGTGTATCTTGGCTCTTGGGTCTGGGTTTCACAGCCTGCACAGGCCATCCCAAGTGAGCCCTTCCTAGCAGTGCAAGCTGCAGGGGCTGGAGTGGCATGAGGTCCCTGGCAGTGACTGCTGAGGCTCCCAGCTGCCTCCAGCTGAGCGGGGGCTCTGGGAACTGCAGTTGTGGAGGGGCCCTCACACCTTCCTCTCTCCCACCCTGTCATGGCTCATTCTCTACTTGCCCATATAACGATTTATTTTCTCCTACTAATAGGTTACTCCTGCTAATAGGTTACAAGTGGGCATCTGGTAGTTTGGATGACAGAAGTGAGAAGCTATACACCAATTGCTACAAAATTAAAAAAAAAAAAAAAAAGAAAAGCCCATTCTGTATGTCCAACCAAAAGAAGGAAGAATTAAG